CAAGATCTACTGCTGATACAACCCAAACCAAGGAGTTGCAGATCATGGTCAGCTTTATTTGCCTTGCAGCTGTCCAGGTAAATACCGTCGTGCTGCACACACAGTTCCGCAACCGAGTCTACGTTGTTGTATGCTGCATTCAACCCCAAGTACATGCTTGTGGGGTTGCTTTTTTTAATATCATTAAATTCTTTTCTTTGGGTTGCTCTACTTGTTGCTGTATTTGTGTATTTGTCGGTTCTTATGCTTGCATCGGTGCTGGACGCGCCTGTGCTGTTTCGGGACGGATGAATGGCCACATCAGCAGTTTGTGCAGCGATATTGCTCTGCGCTACTGCTAGTCCCATAAGAAATATTATGTTTGTCCCTTTTCGGCGCTTCGCTCCGCTCTCGTCTGTAGGAGTTGATATCCGCACGACCGCGTCTCTTTGAGCTGCTACTACAAGCGCTACCGACAGCAACAGCTGCCCGCCTCCATGCATTCGCACGTTCCCCCAAGCGCACCCAGCTCATGGACACGCCATGAAAGAAGACGTTTGTGCGTACACAAGCTACTGGTCCTCATATGGCGGTTGCAGAGCACGCCGAAGGTATTGCGAATTCTCTTGCACATCCCCGCTGAAACATGGACGACGTCCATGTATACAACCACCTACCCTTCATTGATTCACCCTAAGAAACCTTGATAAATGGGTCCCTGCATCTCGGAAGAAGCATTCAAGAGCGCAAAAATTATGATACAGATGTGCTCCGGCTTGCGAGTGTGGGTTTCGAACCTGGCCTTGCACGTGTCGTCAGGATGTACTGGTATCGGGAAAGCGGCCTCGGCAGTCTGATGATGAATCTGCTACGGAATCGAATCGGTCAAGAAGTTCGTCTATACGGGGCACTACAAACTTATGTTTCACCGTAACTTTACTGAGCGGATTGGAGTTGACGCGCATGCGCCACCTCCCGGCTTTTTTCTTCGCCCGTATCGAATTGCGGCCAACCACCCTATGTGACCCATGAAGTTTACCTTTTCTTAGCAGTTTGGCTGTTTGCCGTTAAAGTTTCTCTTCGAGATGTGCGGATAGCCGATGCCTTGGAACGAACCTTCGCACTGCTTTGGGAGTGATGTCGATACCTTGCAGTGAGCATCCAGCGGGTCGGGTGCCCGCTGGTAGCTCTTTACTATTTAATACATTTGAGAACTCCCCCCCTAATTGTGCCCACTTCTGTGAGCTCGACACGGTACACTGAG